ACGACTGTACGACTTCACGACTCAGTCGTATAGCAGTACGATCGACTTACAAAACAATGACTAATAATCCCGACAGTTCATTCACTCGACCTACAGGCAATGGAATTAGTGGATGGATGCCATTCACATTATTTCTTGATTCTCGTGACTGTAAATTTATAGCCATTCTGAATTCCAGACGATGCTCACGCGACGCTGCGGGCCGCGTTCGCAGCCCGGACAAGTCTTATACTTCTCTGCTACCACAGAAAACTCAAACGCATCGACCTATGTGCACCTAAGGCCACCACACTCGTCAGTGACTATACGTATGTACGTCCGTCACACTCACTGGTCACTATACGTATGTACGTCCGTCACACTCACTAGTCACTATATGTATGTACGTCGGTCACACCTCTGTACGGACAAACAAACACACACAAATACTTTCTACTTTTCTAATGAACCCTCACCCCACCCTCACCCTCACCGGTCACAGTAATATCGGATGTACATACATATAGTGACCAGTGAGCGTGACGGACGTACATACATATAGTCACTGACGAGTGTGGTGGCCTTAGGTGCACATAGGTCGATGCGTTTGAGTTCTCTGTGGTAGCAGAGAAGTATAAGACTTGTCATGGCTGCGAACGCGGTCCGAAGGGACGCGTGAACATTGTCTGGAATTCAGAATGGCTATAGACTTACAGTCACTTGGATAAATAAATAACGTGAATAGAGTGAATCGCATCGATTCACTAATTCCATTGCCTGTAGGTCGAGTGAATGAAGTGTGATTATTTAAATCAATTAATAAATTAATTTCTTCTTATTTCTGTAGCTTTTAGCTGACAATCAACATTTAGGGCTTTTGTTGTAAATTCTATAACTTTGCAAAGGAAGGTCATGTAGAGTTGGGGGACGTCTCATTTTAATCAGAAATTTGCGGGCTACGATCATACCTCATTAAGAAACGTTCGGGTTATTTTTTGTGGTTTCTGAAAAACTGGTTTTCTAGAAAACCAGGTCTTCGAAAGCCTAGCAGCAAAAACCATTGTCATTTTCGGAATCAGCATAGTCGATAACCTATCCTCCACTAGATTTCAACAAAGAAGCGAGCGGACACTTGGGGCAGTTCCCTCGTGAGTCGTAAGGTCGTAGAGTCGTAGATAGAATATTTATATAAAGCCGATTCCTCGCAGATGATTAGCTATTCCGTAGAATTTTCATAAATTTATTCCGTCGATAAATTTATGTCGAGGATTCCAGGATCCTGTCCTTGCGTCGTAATCGGAAAACTACATCTCTGCTCAATTCTGTAGTAACAAGATCCAGTTACAATAAAATGAAGAATATTCTCGACACGATATTCATTCCACTTACCGAGTCAATGGACCGAGTGAATCGATGTGATTCACGTTATTAATTCCATTGACTGTAAGTCTACCGTCATACGAAAAAAAGTTGCTCATATGAAAAAGTACAAAGTGTTTGTGTGTGTGTGTGTTTGTGTGTTTGTCCGTAGAGAGGTGTGACGGACGTAAGCACACACGGTGACGCACATACTTACGTATAGTGACCAGTGAGTGTGACGGACGTACATACATATAGTGACCAGTGGGTGTGGCGGACCTACATACATATAGTCATGTGGCAGTGTAACGGACGTACATGCGTGCGGATTCTCTGTGAAAGCAGAGAAGTGTGTTTACACCTATCCTGGCTGCGAGCGCGGACCGACGGGACGGGGGAGCAATGTTTCCAATTCAGAATTAGTTTTGTTCCATTGACCGTAAGTTTATGGTCATATGAAATAAAAAGATGTGTTTGTGTATCCGTACAGAGGTGTGCCGGGCGTACATCCTCATAGTAACTAATGAGTGTGAGCGACGTAAAGCGTATTGTAGGTAGTCCCGTAGCGTACACCGCCCGAAGGGAAGTATGAGCCTTGTTTGTGCTTCGAAGTCATCGGAGGCCGTTCAGTATTTCTCTGACCGACACGCATAAACACAGACTTTCTGTCCACTTCGATTTTTAGTAATTCTCTATTTACAGGATCGAGTTACGATAGAATGAGTAATATTCCCTACACTACGTGCATTCGGCTTACAGTCAATGGACCGCGATTCACGTTATTTATTTCTATTATTCTTATTATTCTATTGATTGTAAGTCTATGGTCATACGAAAAAAACTTGACACAAAAACGAACATTGACACTAAAGTGTAACTGTCTATATAAATCAATGTTCAATACAAACTGTACAAGAATATTCTTTTTCGTTCTGCCTATTCATTCTGATAACACATGAAAATAAGAGAAATCAGAGAAAGAAAGAATATACTAAGAACGGCGAAAAAACAGGAGAATAGAATAAAAAGCGCCAGTTTCCACGCAAAACAGTTTTTCGTTTCTTTCTCAAAAACTAAGAGTTGTCCAGGAAAAGGGGGAGCACATATAATCCTCATTAAATTCCACATCAATTGATGTATGCTGTTTCCCTGTAAACCATCTCAAGGAAAAGGGATCTGTTTTGATATGACCGTTGAAGAAACGCCACTGCTCACCTAAAACCATCCCTTCTCATGCCGAACAAGAAAACAAAAAGAATTATTTCCATCGCCTACTCAGACAACCCAAGAGTATCCATTCTCGGAACATCAAAGGTCACAGAATCTGTTAACAACCAAGTAAGATACCGACAGTCTGGCTTTGCTCATTAGCCACAGCTAAGTGAGAGTTAATTTATCACCGTCATCTGAATATGGAGACAAAGTGTCAGAGAGACGAGCGTTGTTTAATACACGTACACTTCAAGTGGCGTCGTTGTTATGTCGCACAATCTCTGAATGGCTCAAAAATCAACCTTGGTATCGTTATTGAAATCAGCGGATGTTATTGAGTATGGTTGAGACCCAGCCGCATATGTTGTTTGGTTTATAAATGCGCCTGTTCCAGTACCAAGTAGTATACTCACAGTGTTGTCTCCTGAATTAGCCACAGCTAAGTGAGAGTTCATTTATCACCGTCATCTGAATATGGAGACAAAGTGTCAAAGAGCGAGAGTTGTTTAATACATGTACACTTCAAGTGGTGTCGTTGTTATGTCGTACAATCTCTGAATGGCTCAAAAATCAACCTTCGTATCGCTATTGAAATCAGCGGAAGTTAGCGAGATTGGTTGAGACCCAGTCGCATATATTGTTTGGTTTAAAAATGTGCCCGTTCCAGTGCCAAGTAGTATACTCACAGTGTTGTCGTCGAGATTAGCCACAGCTAAATCAATCTTGGCATCGCCATTGAAATCAACGGCTATTGTAAACCATCCGCTATTTCCAGTCTGATATTTTGTTTGTGTTGAGAATGTGCCCGTTCCAGTGCCAAGTAGGATACAGGTATGGTTGTCGTTTGACAAAGGGAAAGCTAAATCGATCTTGCCATCGCCATTGAAATCAGCGGATGTTCCTGCATTTGGATCTTGTCCAATCGTATACGTTGTTTGGCTTAAAAATGTGCCTGTTCCAGTACCAAGTAGTATACCGACTCCGCCACTCATACCCACAGCTAAGTGCGGGTTCATTTATCACCGTCATTTGAATATGGAGACAAAGTGTCTGAGAGCTGAGCGTTGTTTAATACAGGTACACTTCAAGTGGCGTCGTTGTTATGTCGCACAATCTCTGAATGGCTCAAAAATCAACCTTGGTATCGTTATTGAAATCAGCGGCTATTACTGAGGTTGGACCAAATCCAGTCGCATATGTTGTTTGGTTTAAAAATGTGCCCATTCCAGTGCCAAGTAGGATACTCACAGTGTTTTCGCCGAGATTAACGATAGCTAAATCAACCTTGGTATCGTTATTGAAATCAGCGGATGTTATTGAGTATGGTTGAGACCCAGCCGCATATGTTGTTTGGTTTAAAAATGCCCCTGTTCCAGTGCCAAGTAGTATACTCACAGTGCGGTCGTTGGCATTAATCACAGCCAAATCAGTGTTGGTATCGCCATTGAAATCAGCGACTGTTAGTGAGTATGGTTCAGACCCCGTCGCATATGTTGTTTGGTTTAAAAACAATCTTGTGCAAGCTGCGAACGAAAAAAATAAGCACTGATAATTACGCAGATAAACACGCTAAGTACAAAGGGTTCTTGCAACTTTTTAGTTTCTATTCATCTGTCACGGGACATTCATCTGTCGCTGCGCGAGCAGGTACTATATGATGCAGCCACAGCGGGATAGTATGTTTAAAATACTGACTAACCCTTTCCCTCCACTTAGTAATGACGTCCCATTTCTTTGTCACTATAACAAGACAAGAGCTGATTTACCACACTGCCCACAATACTCTGCTTTTTTCCCTGCTCCCCAAGGCACATGCAGACTTCCATATCTAAACAGCCTTCCTTCCCAGACCACCAATATACCATGAACTGCCGTCCAAGACACCGAAACCAAACGATCACACCAGTCCCCGGAAACAGATCAAATAAAGTTTTCGAGGAGTCATGATGTACAACATTGAAAACTAGCACAAATATAGCATAGGCGAAGATGCCCCAAAGCTGGACAAAAATGCATCGATGCACCATGCTTTATCTCGGGCAAGCTCAAT